AAGAAATCTTTCTTTTTGATTCCTTGGCTCACCGAGCCCACTTGCTTCACCAGCTTGTGAGCTGAAGTTCTAGTCTTCCTTGTGCCTTTCTCTTTTTCAAGGATGGATCTAAAATCACTTCTCCATCGGGAACCTTCTCAGTCAGCTGTATGAATCCATGTTTGCTGCCCAGGGCTACTCTGTGGGGCAAATTGTGGCATTCAGCTTGAAGAGAATCAGTATCTTAAGCCTGAGGGTGATGGAGAATGAATTAATCCATTCCTTCCTAATCCTATCTTTAATATATAAATTTTACATGAGCACGGGTTGGCCACTTAAGTCATTAGGACGGTCACCAACCTCCAAGACTCCCGTGGAAGGTTTCTTTTCCTAAGGCTGGATTGGTATCCCTCCCTATGGCTCCTAACCACACTCCGAACCGCGGGAAAGTCCTAGTCTGGACTCTGGTACAAGGAAAGTACCAAACTCTAACCTTTGGTTGAGTATGGCCACCCCTTCTTGGTAGAATGGATCCAGGATGCACCAGAGGATCCACACCAATAACGTTATTGATATAATATTGATAATGTTATTGATATAAATGTTTTGAAATTATATAACAGTCCTAAAATTCTAATCTGTCCTAGTTATCAGGCATAATTCTAATTATTATTTTAAGGTGTTGTATATCACAGAAATAAACAAGTTTCTCTGTCAATTGTCATTTTTGAGTTTTTTGTTATAGTTATTGCTTTACTCTGATGCTTTCTCCTTTTTCTGTAATTTCCTACCCAGTTCAGTTCTATGATCTGAAAGTTTATCAGAAAGCTGCATTCTAGAGTAAGTGTCAGTCTTTCCCATGAATCTCTCTGAAGCAATGAGAGTTCCTGTTATGTGTTGAGCCCCCAGTCTTCTCTGTCAGGAGGCGCCCAGAAGGCTGGCAGCCAGCTTATAACATCCAGAACGGAGAGAGGAAGTTTCTTCTCAAGACCCCTACCAGCCCAAGGAAAGAAACGCTGCCTGCTGACGCCTGGGGAGGGGGCACCCGCTGAAGCCTCAGCCCGATCACAGCAGGTCCCCGGGTTGACGAGAGCCACTCCTGTGGCCGAGCCTGTCATGGGACATCTGTGGAGGCTCAGACTGGAAGGGGAGCGATGTAGCCCCTCGTGTCTCTGGCCCTGTCCCTCCTTTCACCCCGGCCCTGGGACACTCACCCTCTGACACAAGTGCAGCTTCACCACCGGCTTCCCCCTCCCACCCCTCCCAGGAGACCAGAGGACCCACGGGGGACACAGTGGCTGGTCTGAGGTTGTGGACAACAGCAGTGCAGAAAGGGGTCCTGTGGGGAGGGGAGTGTAGCAGGCTCAGGAGGGATGTGGACGGAGGGTTGTGACTTCCATGGCACCTCCTGGGGGAGGGAGGAAGGGGCTTCTGTTTCCTAGGATCCCTGTCCTCGGTCCTCGGAGACCCCACAGCAACTCTGAGACACCCCTGGGGCACCCTAGCTAGCCACAGCGTGATCTAGAGTGCTGGCACCAGAGGATCCATACCAGTAACGTGAAATGTGGGTCTCCTGTGGTCAAGACACGGCCCAGGATCATGACATGGACGCGCACAGCATCCCAGGATGGGCTGAGCTGCCATCCCTCTTGCTAAGTTGGTAAAGAACCCGTGGGAAGTGACCAATGTCCTGATTCCGCTACTACCCGTGATGGGCGCCTTCCCCCAGGTGAGGATGGTTCTTTTCTGGGTTATTTCCAGGAGATCTGGAGCCTTAAACTGGCTCCCTGCCCACCAGCTCCCTCCCAGCTGCCTCCTCGAGCACCTGGCCTGTTTTCAGGGAGATAAAATTATTTTTGTATTGAATCAGACAATTGCAAACTGATGAAGAGATTCAGGGTAGGGGGTGAGTGGGAAGCTGGCGTACTTCAACAGGTTCCAGCATCTTCGGGCCAGGCCCAGCCAGACTCTCGAGTGTCTTGGATAACAGGGATTTCCTAGAGGAAAAGGTAAGTGAGAGGGACAATTTTTCAAAAGTGAAATTGTGCCAGGCTTTCCCTGACAAATTGCAAAGACTTAGGGACTGTCCACTGTTTTGGCAGATTTCCCCCTCGGGCCTTGGCATGAGGCCTTGTCCTGGGTAGCCAGGCTCGGGGTCCGGCCCCAAAGCTGAGCTGTGTTGTCTGCTGGGATTCCGACACACCTGGGCCTGTCTTGGGTCCTGGCAGGTGGGTCACTATGAGACAGACTGTGGGGCCTCCTGTCTGAGCCTCATCCTGAGGGACGAGGATGGACAAGGCCTGAACACAGCCGGATTTCAGGAACCATCTGCTAGAGTGCTGGCTGTGCGAGCTCAGCCCTGTGGGACGCTGAGGGGGCCCTGAGGAGAGGGCAGGAAGCTGCCCTGGGCTGAGACCCCGAGACGAGGAATTGAGTGGGAGGTGACCCCAGGGAGCACCAACAGGGGAGTGGGAGATGAGACAGGGAAGGACAGGTAGCCAAGAAAGGGCCGTTAATGAGTGAGGCTGCACTGTGGGCATCTGAGGCTGGCTCCTGTTGGGAGACAGTGTGGGCCGGGCCTCAGAGTTGGCCCCCTGAGGGGTGTGTATCCCCCGACTAAAATCCATCACAGGCTGAGGGCTATTCTGGGGGCACCAACACCTCGACACTTCCAGCCTGCCTTGTAGGCCTCAGGGGCAGGGCCCGGGAGGGACAGTCACAGGTGCTGGCAGCAGGGGGCCCAGCAGGTACTGGGAGAGTGAGTGCCGGGGATACAGGCAAGGCTCCTGCAGTGTCTGCTGCACCAGCTCAGGAGAGACAGAGGTGGCAGTACTTATACCCAGAAATAGAGACGCCTCCTGTATGGGCCTATAGTGGGAGGTCGGTCTTGTCAGGAGTTGAGCTGGGTCTGGGCTTTTTTGCTGCTCCGGCTGCTGTCACTGCTCCACCAGTGTTCTGCCACACACCCATCTAGGTGAGCAGTGTGGGATAGGCTGCCGAGAGACCAAAGAAAAGGCCGGGAGGCAGCGAACGAGACATGTGTGTTTATTGGGAGTTACTTACATGGATGGTCCAGTGGCAGCTGGCTGGACAGCATCGTGCCCCCGCTACCGCCCCCTGAGAGAAGCCAGCTTAAGTAGGCAGTGGAAGAAAGGCTGTGTGCTTACCAAGGGGGACTGTCCGTATGCGACCTGCATTCCAAGGACCAGTACCCCCACCACCCCCAGCCGAGGGCCTCCATGTTCCCTCAGACCATGAGGGTCTTGGGGCTAACTCTCCCACGGGAAAGCAGCTGGGTTGGCCAAGCCCAGGACTGTTATCATCATGAGTGCTGGCATGTAGACCAGACAAGGAGCCTCAAGGACACATGACCTTTAAAGGGGCACACCAGCTAATGCCCCTACAACCAGCTTCTCATCAGCATTTCCTTGAGCTTCTCATGGACACTGCTCTTTCTCAGCATCTGCTCACCCAGGCTTCAGATGTCCATTTGGTGTGTGCATCTTGGAGAGAGTCCCTCTGCATCCCTGCTCCACCCACAGTGTAGACATTTGTTGCTTGTTACTTGCTGGCCTGGCGGCGGGGGCAATGGGGTTCTCTGTGGTCCCTTCTAGCCTCAGTCTGAGCAGGCCCTGGGGGCCTGGGCCTGGGGGTGGGGTTTTCTTAAAGTTGCCCCACTCCAGTGGTGGGCAGGTTCTAATTGTCTGGGCCCAGGAAGGTTGAGAACCCCAACCTGAGTGGCAGAGGTTTTTTCTCTTTTTTTGTCCCATCAAGAGAGATTTTTTCCTGTGTTCTGGTGTCTATGGATTTTCCTGCACTTCCCCCAGCCCCATAAGGGGAGAACGAAGGTGGCAAGCTGCCACTCCCCTCCTCCAGTCCTGCTCAATGAGGGAGGTTTTCTCTGGGTTTCTGCCTGCCTCCAATCTTTCTTGGGAGCATCCAGCAGGTCCTTGCAGAAGAAGCTGCAGGTTGGCTTGAAGCATCCTTGCATCTGTAGCTCCCCAGGGTTCTATGCTCGTTCACGCTGGCCCATACTCACCCTTGAGCTCTCAGTTAAGACTTGTAGCTGACTTCTCGCCTGCATGTGCTGCGGCCCCACCTTCCTCCATGCTCTGCCCCAGGTGGCTCAGTGCTGTCCTTGGAGGCACCTGGCTCTCCTGAGAGTTCGGGCCATCTGGCAACCCTGCACTTCAGCTCAAGAGAAGTTATGATTTTGTAGGTTGTCTGGCTTTTTCTTGGTGTCAGGTAGGAGTGATGCTCTCTCCACTTTCGACATCCTCAGCAGGCTTCCTTCTCGATGTGTTGACGAGTGGGCTACAAAATGCAGCATGTGCTCCCTGGAGGCCCCCTCAAGACTATCTACTGAAGTGTAAGCAGAAATCGTAGAACTTCTATTTCTTTCTGTTTTGTATCTCATCCTTAAAAAAAAAACTCCAGAGAATAAGACCTCTCTGGCAGGAAGTGAGCCCTCCCTGGAAGTGAATGGACTGAGGGGACAGCCAGAGTGCTTGTCACCAGACATGGCATAGTGATGGTCCCTGACTTGGTCTCCTCCCCGTGAAGGGCCCAGAGCCCCATTGAACACCGGGCATACTGTCCTGGCCGGGTGTTTCCTTGTTGGCCTCCCCACAGGACTTTGAGGCAGGCAGGCAAAGGCCGGTGTCTTGTTCATCTCTGCATGTCAAGTGCCCATTCACAAGGGAGGGCAGAGGGCTCTGTGCCCAGTGGCTTAATACGCATCTGGTACCCACACCCCAGCCTCCCAACAGGAACCACTCTCAACTCCATTGTTGAATGAGGGGTAAACTGACGCCCCTGGAAGGCCCGAGAATGGCCCTGGCTTATATAACCCATCCCTTGTAAGCCTCGACCAACCAAAGCCTCCTGCCAACTGATCTGTGCTTGGTCAGCCTGCCTCCTCCCTCTGCCCCCCTACAAGGCAGGCTGAGGGAATGGGGAGAACCAGAAACCTCCCATTCACATCCCCCCAACCAGGGCTGCAAGGAGCAAAGACAGGGAGGTGCATCTGCCACGATCTTTATTTCTCAGGCTTCTCTAATCTGAGTGGGGCTTTTGGTTCTTGGGGTCCGACTTGGGCACATTTTCTTCTGGCTGGTCCTCGTCTGCCTGGCTCCCCTGGTGAAACGGGACTTTTATGAACTTTGCAGCAAGGCCCCCAGTAGCTGACCCAGCGGAGGCCAGGACGATGTTGGATGACATGGAGAGTCCAGCCGCCCCTGAGGAAGAGACAGAGGGTGGGCACAGGGAGCGTTCAGTGGTCAGCAGCCTGGGCCCCTCAGGAGGCCCAGAGATCCTACCTGGATCCTTCCTCTAGGTCCTGACACCCCCAGGGCTCTGCTTTGGGCAAAGGATGCTGGGGGCTGAGAAAGAGAAGAGAGAGATGAATTCACAGGAAGTGAGAGACAGAGGAGAGTCAGCCACAGACCCCAAGAGCTACAGGGTCCCTCACTTTACACAGGAAGCTAGGAGGCTCAGAGAGGGGAGGGGTCATGCCTAGGCCACCCAGCTGTCAGATTTGGGTAGGGCTGGATCCACAGCTCTGGGCTCCTTCCCTTCTTCTCCCTTCAGAACCCCTCATGCCTCCACTCCCACCCCAAACCTCACTCAGAAGGAGCCAGAAAGAAGACAGTTAGGGAGAAACCGAGGACCAGGGATGCTGAGGACCCTGGAACTGGAGGGAGGGGCCAGGCCCTCCCTCAGGTTTAGCCTCTAGGCTGAATCCTCTCCTGGCTCTGGCCTCCTCTCCCTCCTCCTCCTGCCGGGGACACTCACCCACGGACTGCAGAGTGGCCACCAGGCTGCCGGCTGCAACGCCACCCCCGTTGGCGATGGCGGCCACGGACATCATCTTGGCTGCTATGGAGGAGGCGGCGATTCCTGCCCCCGTGAAGCCCACGGCACCTAGCACCACGGGCACAGCTGCCACGGCCACAACTGCAGGGAAGAGGAGCTTTGGGGTCGGCTCCATGAGAGGGACTCCCCAGATCTCCCTGACATCTTCCTGGGGGATGAAGTGGGGAGTCTGCTTTGCTCTTGTGAGAGTCATGGGGCAGGAATGGGGGCCTGAGGCAACGGAAGGCTGTAGATGTGGACACAAGCGAGGGGATGGGCTCACAGGAGAACCTGGATCCCAGTTCTGTTTGTGCCTCTTTTTTGCTGTGAGCCTGGGCCTCCTTTGCTCACCCACTCCCCTTGTGTAAAGTAAATTAGATTGAAACATGCAGTGGTCTTCAAACTTCTCCTTTTGGCTAGGAAATTACTCTCTCTCCCCCAAGCACAAGGTCAACAGAAGATACATCAGAGCTGCTCTTCTGAAGAGGTGATGGGGTGGGGGCTTCTGCCCTCTGCCCCTGAGGGCCCTGTAGCAGTGTGTGGGGGTCTCCCCAGGGCTCCCTTATATCTACAGAGCAGTTTAGTCATAGAACTTTCCACAATGATGGAAATGTTCTGTATCTGCACCATCCAATATGGTAGCCACATGTGCTATTGAGCACTTGAGATGTGGCTAGTGTGACATAAACATTTTTATTTTCTTTAATTCTGGCCACCATATTGGAGGACGCTGGCCTAGGGCACAGGTGGAACCCTCTGGGTTCGCTGCACGAGGTGCCTGGGTTTGTAATAAGTTCTGAGGAACCAGACACAGCTCAGCTTACACATTCCCTACAGAGCTCTGGATGACCTCACTGGCCCTGCTTTCTAGGGGAGGAATCGTGGGCTCAGACAGATCACTGGCTCGCCCAGGATCGCATGGTTTGCACTTGGGAGAAGCTGAGGGTGGATCTGAGATGCTGTTTATGGCTTTGCTTTGGTTCCTGTGCTCCAAGGTTCTCGTCACCCTGAGTATCCCACTGCTATCCGCTCCCCACTCCACCCCTCCCCACCCACATCTTGGGGCTTGAGGGAATTCTTGGCTTGGTCAAGCCCAGTTGCTCCCAGAGACCCAGGGCCAGAGGCAGATGGGGGCCTCAGCTCCTTCCTAAAGAGACTCACCTCCTCCGATCACAGCTCCAGCAGCAACCTTGGCTGGAGACAAAAGGAACATCTGTGAGTGCCTCGCACTGGCCTCTCCTGCATTCCTGGATGCTGCCTATGGTGGGGGAGGGCTCTATGGACTTGGAACCACAGGAGAGAATGGCCTCTGCCTGGCCTCTTTCTGCTTTTCCAGGGAAGTCTGAGTTACTGAGAATGCAGAGGTGGATGGAGGATGTCCCGGCTCTGTGATGCTCCAGATGGGGAAAGGCCCCTGCCTTCACAAAGCTCCATGCTGCTCTTAATGCAAATACACTCGGTATCTTTTTCTCAAAAATACAAAAACAGCATCATGGTGGAGTGAGCCTTCCCAGTAATCTCTCCCCTCCACCATACAATGAAAAAGACATTCATAGTCCAACAGAGGACATCCAAACACAACACAAAAGAGGTCTGAGAGACCCACGCAGCCATACAATGGAGGTCAGAGAGGCTGGAGCCCCGCCTTGGAGGAGGTGGAATGGGGTAGGAGAAAACTTCGCTCCCTCCCCATAAGACTGCAATCTGGGACCACACAGCCTCTGAGAGGGAAGGAAAGGGGGAGGGGAAGACTGTTTGTGGGAAGATCAAAGATCCCCAAGGTCCCTCACAGCCTAGGGGAAAGCCCCTACCGAGGTGAAAGCTAACATGGGGGTGACCTCAACAAGCCAACACCCCAGGAGAGCAGACAGGGAGGGCAGAGCGAGCAAACCCTGAGAGCACACAGAAGAAAGTGCCCCCCCCCTCCACCCACCCAGCGCTGGCTCCAGTGCCTGGGAGTTCAGTGGAAGCAGAGAGCTCAGAATACATGGCTCTTGACCCCCTAGCCAGTGGCAATAGGTGGTAACTGAGACCAAATAATACCACGATGTGCAAAAATAGAGCCACACCCTTTAGCAGTATCAAAAATTATATTAAATCTCCAGACCAGAGAGAAAATGAGAAGTACCCAGAAATCAGTCCTGAGGACACAGAAATATATAATCTAAATGACAGAGAATTCAAAATAGCTATCATCAAAAAACTCAATGACTTAAAAGAGAATGTAGAGAAACAATTCAACAAGTTCAGGAGCTACTTCACAAAAGAGATTGAAACTATAAAGAAGAATCAATCAGACATATTGGAGGTGAAAGACACAACAGAAGACAGAAAACAAAATATGGATTCCCTGAACGGTCTAGCAGACATCACAGAGGAGCCAATCAGCATAACCAAGGATAGAATGTTGAAATGCTCCAGATAAAGGAGGAGAGAGAACTAAGACTAAAAAGAAAGAAAGCCTCCGAGAAATATCCTACTCAATTAGGAAGTGCAACATAAGAATTATAGGTATTTCAGAGGGAGAAGAGAAGGAGAATGGAGCAGAAAGCTTGTTCAAAGAAATAATAGCAGAGAACGTCCCAAACCTGGGAAAGGAGATGGAAATCCTTTTGGAAGAGGATGCAAGATCTCCTAAATATGTCAATGTAAAAAGACCTACTGCAAGGCATATAGTAGTGAAATTGGCAAAACTGAATGACAAAGAAAAAATACTAAAGGCAGCAAGGCAGAAGAAAATAACCTACAAAGGAACCCCTATCAGGCTTTCAGCGGATTTCTCTGCAGAAACCTTAGAGGCTACAAGAGATTGAAATGACATATTCAAATCTTTGAAGGACAAAAACTTTCATCCAAGAATACTCTGTTCAGTGAAAATATCCTTCAGATATGATGGAGAAATAAAACCTTTCCCAGATAAACAAAAGCTAAGTAAGTTCATAGCCACAAGACCCACCCCCATGAGAAATCCTCAAGATGGCCCTCATACCTGGAAAAAAAATGAGAACGAATGATTTCCTGAAGGCCAGGTTCTGTTCCATTGATCTGTGTGCCTGTTTTGTACCAGTACCATGCTGTTTTGATCACTATGGCTTTGTAGTACATTTTGAAGTCAGGGGTTGTGATACCTCCAGCTTTGTTCTTTTTTCTCAGGATTGCCTTAGCAATTCGGGGTCTTAGGTTGCCCCATATGAATTTTAGGATTCTTTGTTCTATTTCTGTGAAGAATGTCATTGGGATTCTGATTGGGATTGCATTGAATCTGTAGATTGCTTTGGGTAGTATGGACATTTTAACTGTGTTTATTCTTCCAGTCCCTGAGCACGGAATCTCTTTCCATCTCTTCGTGTCATTATCAATTTCTTTCAGTGATGTCTCACAGTTTTCATTGTATAAGTCCTTCACCTCCTTGGTTAAATTTATTCCTAGGTACTTTATTCTTTTAGTTGTGATTGTAAATGGAATTGTATTCTTGAGTTCTCTTTCTGTAAGTTTGTTATTAGAGTATAGAAAAGCAACTGATTTTTGTCAGTTTATTTTGTACCCTGCAACTTTACTTGAAGACATTACGCTAAATGAAATAAGCCAGTCATAAAAAGATAAATACTGCATGATTCCCCTTATATGGAGTTCCTAGAGTAGTCAAATCATAGAAACAGGAAGTTGAATGGTTGCCAGGAGCTGGGAGGAGGAAGGAATGAGGAGTCAATGTGTAACATGAACAGAGTCTTTCAGTTTTGTGAAATGAAAAGAGTTCTGGAGATGGGTTGCATGACAATGCAAATATACTTAACGCTATTGAACTGTACACTTAAAAATGATTAAATTGGTAAATTTTATGTGACATGTATCTTGCATGATTAAAAAAAACAGAGTGCACTTTTTGCTGCCCTGCCCCTGGCGGGCCACACCTTAGGAGTGAGACTGCTCTGCAAGGGTGTCTCCTGGAAGAAGGACATTAATGACCAGGCCATAAGGCATCAAGGGAGGAGGATAACTGGGGAAATGAAACTTACTCATGCCCTGTGTGCCATGCGGCTAACAGGTCAGCGCACTAGCAGTGGCCTTTGGGAAATATCTGAGCCTGAGCTTATGCCTGCTGGCTGACCAGGGTCCTGAGCAGCAGACGCTTGTGAAGAACGTAAGGCCAGTATGAAGGGTCTCTCTGCCACCTCACTGTACATGACCTGGCTCTGGGAGACCCCTGAGAGTGACCTAATCCCACCTCTGCACTTAGAAACAAATCAATAAGGCCCAGAGAGGGCATGTGACTGGCTCTGGGTCACTCAGCAAGTCAGCAGCAGAGCCAAGACCTGAAGCACAGTTCCTCTGATTCTGGAGCATCATTTACTTCATCTCCCATGTACACTGTGTCCTTTTTCTGACAGTGTGGGTGTAGTAGAGATTCCATCAGGGATGTGTGCCTTAATACTGACAACTTAGAAGGTTGAGCTGAGCAGTAGGGGTGGGGTAAGGTCTGGTGGATTGGTGCCCAGGGCCCAGTTACCTGCAGTGGAGAATTTCCTGCCTTTATCCTTGGGTGGGTCTGTAGGGTCAGAGTCAGAGTCTGAGTCAGATCCATCCGGCCCCTGCGGTGGCCCCCCAGGAGAACCCGCTGAGGCCTCAACCACGTTGGATGACTGGGAAGGTTTCTCCTCCTCTGGAAAAGGAGAGGTGGAGTCCACAATGGGGTGGGCAGCTGTGGGACTCGAGGCCCCAGGCCCCTGAGGAGAGCATGAGGCCCAGAGGCCCCACACGACGCTCCCCCCCTGCCATTTCCTGAAGCTCCCAAGAATTTTGATGCGGGGAGGGGACCTCAGCGGCAGCTGCACTGAGAGGTGACGGGAACGCTTGGAGGTGAACCCAAGGAGAAGACAGAGAAAGGGAGACCTGGCCACCAACCGAGAGCTCGCAGGTCCCTCACTTCACAGAGGGGGAGGCTGAGGCCCAGGAGGGAAGAGACTTGCTCAGACACCGTGCACCTCAGGGGCAGCTCCAGGCCAGAACCCAGAGCCTGTCTGCCCCAGGCCACACATTCCAAGCCCTGGGCCCCCTCACCCTCCAGGGCGTCCCCAAGGGCACTCACCATCCGACTGAAACTCCTGCAGAAGGGGGTCAGCAGCAACTCCTTCCCTGTTCTCTATGGCTTTAGCTGACATCTCGGTGGCAGTGTGGGGACACCACGTGCAGAGCCTGCGGCCACCACTGTCTTTCCCAGAAACAGAGTATGAAAACCGAAAGTGCCCTGCCTGGTTTGTGATGGACTGGGGTGGGGACAGAGCACCTCTCTGTTGCCCTGAGCCCTGCCCTCCATCCTACGGCAGTCTGTGGGCCACTTCGAGCATGCCCCCCAAATCTGCACTGACCGTGGCTTTTAAAGTTAGTGACTTTGCTTGGCTCCCTGATCTTCAGGGTTCTGTTCAACTCTAATGTCCCATCTCTGTCCCCTGCCCTCGCCCCCCACCCAGCCTCAGTCTTAGGGCTTGAGAGTGACCTGGGTTGGGACACACTGGTTTCTCTCAAAGACTCAGAGGAAAGGCTGGCCCAAGCCCCCTCCTGGCACATACTCACCTCGGCCCACAACAGCTTGGATGGAGGCAAAGAGGGGTGCCTGCCCCCACCCCTTCCCCACTTCCCAGGCCCCACCTACCTTGGGAGGTAACTGCCTGAGGATGCACGGCAGTGTCTGAAGTCCTGTGTGGAGTAAGGCTGCTAAGGACTCCAGCCAGCTAAACAGTTCCAGCCTGGGTGAAGTTCAACCCCACAAGCCTCTCATCCGGGGCTTGGTGCCAGTTAGACCTCACCTTTGCCCTGTTGACACAAGGACGGGATGAGTGTGGGCTGGTCTTTTTCAGCAAAAAGGGTAAGTAAATTCTACTTTTCAGAGTTTGTTTCCTGTCTGGAGGTTTTAAAAGTAACTGACTCAGGGGCCAGTCTGGTGGCACAGCGGTTAAGTTCACACGTTCCACTTCTTGGCAGCCCGGGGTTTGCTGGTTTGGATCCCAGTTGTGGACATGGCTCTGCTTATCAAGCCATGCTGTGGCAGCCGTCCCACATATAAAGTAAGTAAAGATGGGCATGGATGTTAGCTCAGGGCCAGCCTTCCTCAGCAAAAAGAGGAGGATTGGCAGCAGATGTTAGCTCAGGGCTAATCTTCCTCAAAAATAAATAAATAAATAAATAAATAAATAAAATAAAAGTAACTGGCCTCAAATAATCCTCATGCCAAAGAGACATATCTTGGGGTAGTTAATTCCAGTCCCTCACAGCTCCTATAAATAACAATTCCCTGGAGCCTGGGTCCCCATGGTAATGGGTGTGTGAGCTGTTTTTCAGGAATTAAAACTCCCTGTCCACTTCAGGCCAGCTGAGACCACCAACTCATCAACTGGGCCCACGGAGACATCTGATAGGTGACCTTTAGACCTCAAGAGGCTAAAAACTCGACCCTCAGATCATACAAACGTCGCCATTTTGCGAACGTGGGTCCTATGAAGAGGCATGAAGTCTGACTACACTTGCACAGATCACCAATTACCTCACCTCCAATCACCTCTCTCCACATTTCCAACCGCCTTGCCCCATCCCATAAATATCCCTGAGTCCTTGTTTTCGGGGAAGCAAATTTGAGGCTGATTGCTCTCGCTTCCTCGTGTGGCTGCCTTGTAAGTAAACTCTCTCTGCTGCCATCTCGCTGTCTTGGTGTTTGCCTTTCTGGGTGGTGGGCAAAAATAAACCTGGTTCAGTAACAAACATGACCATGACATCAGGAAAGGGACTAATCCAGGCGTTACCAATCGGCTGTCACTGATTGGAGGGGAAGTATGCATTCTTAGGAGAATGCACTCTTTAATGGATACGCAGATGTACAATGTACGTTTGATAGGTCATAAGTCAGGCTTTTTAGTTCAAGCCAAATCAGTTTTGAATGAATAATTACCTCACATACCTCAATACGTGAAAATCTCTTGTCATTAGTAAAACAATGTTTTAAAGAAGATATTGTGTGTGTGTGCGTGTGTGTGAGATGCATCTATCAGTTAGGACTTGGCCCCAGGTAACAGAAATCACTCCAGCTACTTAAGCAGAATGGATTTTAACATGGAATTATGTGCGTACAAAACTGTTCCAGAATTGAAGGAGGAAGTTCTAGGCTGAGGTTCCAGGAATGACACTGTGGGGGATTGGAATTGGCCACCCCAAGATATGTCTCTTTGGATTATTTTGGGCCGGTTACTTTTAAAAACTGCAGACATGAGAGAAACTCTGAAAAGTAGAAGTTACCCTTTGTAAGAGACATTTACATTTGTAAGGGAAATCTCCATCTGTAAAGGTGTCTCTCTCTCTGTACCAGGAAGAAGGAGGGATGACTAATCTCTAGAAACTCTTATCAGTGCAGAAGGCAAGGACTTAAGTCTGCATAGTAACCTTACTCTTGTTTACTCTACTTTTCTGGTAATCTCCCATAATTGACTCTCCCCACCCCCAACATCCTCCTTTGTCTGCAGCTGAAGATGGTATTTAAGATGAGAGCCTCTGCCATTTTGGTGAGTTCCTCAGTTTTCCTGGGTCTCTCTCATGTATACATGTTCTAAAGCTTTGTTTGATTTTCTCCTGTGATTCTGTCTCAATGTCCATTTAATTTGTAGCCCAGCCAGAAGGACCTACAGTGAGTAGAGGAAACGTCTTCCTCCTCCAACAGCACCCTCCTCAGAATAACACTGAAGAACTGGGCCGCCAACAAGGCAGTGACCGCTGCTATGATCAAGAAACTAGGGTATCAGGAAGCCACTGTCCCACCTGTTGGCTCTGAGACCAAAGTGCCTCGGATGTCGCCTATGCTGGTAAAATGATGCATCTTGATAAGGTAAGAAGTGGATCCTGGGATGGTTTACTGCTGCAGCCGAAAACCAAATCCCCACTACTGTTCTTGGCAGCAAAAGCAGAAGCACAGCCCTGTCCCCCGTCGGTGGTTCTGGGACAGGGCAGTCTCTTGGCAATGACATGCAGGACATTCGCAGACCTGGTGCTATGAGGGAGTCTGGAGGATGCAGTCATTAGCTTTCTATCATGGAGGGTTCACGGCAGAGGATGAAACAGAGCTGAGGGAGTACATCACCAGTATCTGCTCCAGGAAGTGAATAACCAAAAACACCCATTGTCTGCATGGGACGAGGAAGGTGACTCCTCACACCCTACTGGAGGGGGTATGTTCTGACATGTACTTTCTGGTCAGTGACACGGAAACATGTAGTAAAGGATTTCATTCCATTTGACTCAGAAATTTTGCTTCTTGGAATTCATTGTAAGGAATCAGACATGCAGACGAAAATATCAGCACACGAATGATTATCAAAGTGTTACTAACAACAGCAAGTTTGAAACAACAGGAAACAGAGCACACAAAATTTTATACCTCCCATTAATACCATCCTATGTAGCCACTGATGACAGAGGCGAAAGCAGGTCTACCATGAAGGAATGAAGGCTGGCTCCCCGCGGCTCCTTCCAAGACCCTGGGAGTGATGCTGGCCATGTACTTACATTGCTATTATCATTATTATTTGCAAAACAAGGATATTTTAAGAGTAACGGTTAGGACTACTGTCCCTTTCCAATCTGACTTCCGTCTGTCATACTTTCCCTGGTTTTGGATGGCATTGTAGGGCTACTGACATTGTATTGTAATCCTCTATTTTTTTCTTAAAGAGTTCTCCCTCCCCAATTAGGTATGCTTCAGGGCCCTAAAACCTAGATCTGACCCTGGTTATAGACTTATATTTATTGACATGGGGCATTGGTCATTAGGTATTGTCAGGCAAAAGAGGCAACTTACCAAAAAGTGGTAAAGGAAGACCTCATTTTGTGTTTATATGTACATATGTTTTTTGTTTTGTTTTCTTTCTTTCTTTTTTTTTTTTTTAGGAAGATTAGCCCTGAGCTAACTACTGCCAGTCCTCCTCTTTTTTGCTGAGGAAGCCTGGCCCTGAGCTAACATCCGTGCCCATCTTCCTCTACTTTCTATGTGGGACGCCTACCATAGCACGGCATGCCAAGCGGTGCCATGTCCATCCGCACCTGGGATCCAAACCGGCAAACCCCGGGCCACCGAGAAGCAGAACGTGCAAACCTAACCGCTGCGCCACCGGGCCGGTCCCCTGTTTTTTGTTTTCTAATGCATGGTATTTGGAGATTCTTAAGAAGTCTAGGCAAGGTGCTAGATGAATTATGATGCCTCGGGTATAGGTTACTTTTACCATCTGAGTCAGAAAACAGAGTTTTCTGGTACCACTGCTACTCACACCAATTCTGACACCAGATGTGTGGGTTTTCCCACACCAAGCATTCTCCACTTCTCTGTGCTTTTGGTGCCTTGAGGGTCAACTGGGTGGAGCTGTGAGAGATAAAGGGCAAAAAGCTATTTTAACTTAGCTGGTGCTGTTTGCAGATCTCTCTTGCCTGTCGGACAAAGCTGGCTCTCTCCTGTCACGGAAGACGTCCAAACCAAAGCTACCCTTTTCTCTCCTAGGATGTTGTGATGGTTAATTTTATGCATTAACTTGGCTGGGCCACTGTGCCCAGATATTTGCTCAAACGTTATTTTAGATGTTTCTGTGAAGGTGTTTTTTTGGGGAGGAGATTAACATTTAAATTTGTGGACTTTTGAGTAAAGCAGATTACACTCCACAGTGCGTGTGGGCCCCATTCAACTAGCTGAAAGCCTGAATACAACAAAGACGGACCTCCTTTGGGCAAGAAGGGGTTCTGCCAGCTGACTGCCTCGGGACTATTCCGAGTCTCCAGCCTGCTGGCCTACCTCATCTGATTTTGGATTCGCCAAGCTTCCACGATCACTGTGAGCCAGCTCCTCAAAATAAATCTCTCACTCTATGTATACATATCCTGTTGGTTCTATTTCTCTGGACAACCCTAACTAATACGGATGCTTTTGTTAGTTTTTCAGAGGTCTCCAGAGAATCTTCACCATGCACCATTTTGACCCCTCAAGATGGTCCCCAAGTCTTACGTCAGGGATCCAACTTCTAGTCTCCCTCTGGTGAGGTCCCTTTTCTCACCAAACAGCCCTGGTAGGAGAGGTTCTGTCAAGACAACCCCCCAACCCTCCAAGGCGTGTAACTAGCCCACAGAGATATCGACTCTGATATCAGTTTCCCCACATTAAACCCAGCATATATGGGTTTAAAACTAAAACACTCATTCCCTGCTTACTCTCTGGCTTCCTGGCTCCAGAATCCACTATCCTCCATGGAGACAGACACTGTCAAGGACAAGCACCTGGACTATCTCCTCCCACAAAGAGATATGGGCTGGTGGGAAAGCTGCTGACCAGCAAGGTCATGAGCTCCCTCCTCTCTGCAAGTGTCTCAAGGCCAAAGACAGGCTGGTGGGAAAGCTCCGACCAGCAAGGCCATATGCTCCCCCTCCCCTACCTAAAACCCCAAATAAAAACCCTTCCTTTTAGCTTTTCGGGGAGTTTGGGATTTCAGCGTTAGCTGCCCTCTCTCCTTGCTCAGCGCTGTGCAAAAATAAAATTCCTACTTTCTTCCACCACACCCGGTGTCAGAGATTGGCTTGCTGTGCGACAGGTGAGTGAACTCACTTCAGGTTCGGCAACAACAGGGGACAGGAACCTTTGTCCTGCCATGGAGGGACATGCAGCCTTCCTCCTCACTCTGCCATCAGAGACAGCTCCAGTCTCTCATAATCAGATTTTTTTTTTTGAGGAAGATTAGCCCTGAGCTAACCTCTGCCGCCAATCCTCCTCTTTTTGCTGAGGAAGACTGGCCCTGAACTAACATCCATGCCCATCTTCCTCAACTTTATACTGGGACACCTGCCACAGCATGGAAGCCTGTGCCATGTCTGCACCTGGGATGTGAACTGTCAAACCCCAGCCTCTGAGAAGCGGAACCTGCGAACTTAACCACTGTGCCACCGGCAGGCCCCACATCATCAGATTTTTTGAGGCACCACTTAGGCACAGGCTCTATGCCACCCACACTCTTGGGGACACACTGGCAAGTTCCCCCAAGTAATGAATTAAGCTCTGTCCCATGGTGGCTCCACAGGGGGTGGAGAGGCTTGCCTGACCTCAGCTTGGTGAATTCTCCCATTGTCCTTTAGGACTTCCCAAGGTCACCAGACACATAGACAGTGTATGGGAAAGGTTTCCCAGATGGTCCGGTGATACCCACATGGAAAAGGTGATTATCTATCGTGAAGCTGATTTCTCTGCATATGACAAAGGAGCCAGTTTAGCCTGGTGATTAAAGCATGGCCTTTGGAGTCAGGCCAACCTACCCCAACCATCAGTGAACAACAGACGAGGCACGAAAACACTGGGGAAAATAGCACCTCCAATACAGCATTTAGCATAAATGCTAAAATGTTTGCAGGGCTCCAGGCACATAGTAGGTACCCAATAAGCGCATAGCCACTGCACTAAAAGTAGAACCAAGAAAACTTACGCTCCGGCGCGTGAGCGGCCGCAGAGTCCTTGCGGATGGAGTAGACCCGGACTGCTTCCTAACCCCGGAAGAGGCCCCGCGCGACCCAGCCCCGCTTGCCACGTCTCCGCGCTCCCGCACGCGCACTGCTAAGGTCTGCAATCCCGCGCGGCAGCGAATCAGGTCGCGGCGTCTAGGGCGGGGGCGGGACTTCCTGCCGCAGCGCGCACGCATGCGTGAATGCAAGCCCCGCCCCGGAACTGCGGGCTGAGCTTCAGCTAAGGTGCCGCGGCCGCGTCTGAGGCGGTTGGCCGGCGGCCCCACGCGGTGAGTGCCGGAGCTGGAGCGGTGCTCGGGCCGGCGCTAGCGGGGAGAGGGGCGGGTTCCCGGGCTCCCGTCGCGGGCATCTCCAGCCCGCGAGTTCTCGGGTCGCAGTCAGGCAGCCTGCCGGACCCCGCGCCGGGGCCGGGTGTGTGGGCGTCCGGGTCCGGAGTCCTCGGCTTTCGCGCCTCGTGCGCCCCTTCGGGCCTGAGGCGAGGCGCGAGCGGCGGTCCGGGAGCGGGCGCCGCGAGGAGGAACCCCACTCGCTAGTCAGATCGCACCCCGCGTCTCGGCCGGGTGTGCGCGACCGCCCCCGCTCAGGCTTGAGCCCGGCCTCTTGGTGGTCGTGGCGCCCGCGGGGCGGTGAGCGAGCCTCCTTGCATCTGAGGTGCTCACCTCAGGAGGCGCCATGAGCGGTTTTGGACATGCGTCACCTTTTTGTACCCGCGTAACGAACCCACGAGACGGACGGCCTCAGAGTCGCCCCTTTTACCGACGGGGAAACTGAGGCTCACGGAGATCAGTGCGTGCGCCGCCGGCCCGGAGCGGGCGAGCGGTGGCTCCGGATTGGAACCGGGGTCTGCCTTGGCGTTTTCCCCGGTATCTGTTATTTTTTTGCCCTTGCTGAAAAGGGAGAACGTGGGTCGAGGGCCGTGCAAATGGTTTTTAAGTCACTTAAAGCGTCATGGAAAAGCTGGCTGGGCTTTAAGCCGGACGGCAAAGGCCGGGATGGTGGGACGGGCATTAAAGCTGCCCACTCGGCCCGCCCCCCCCCCCCGAACCCCAGATTCTCATCCTGCCTTCCACATGGCTTGAGTGGCGGGCTTGTCCTCCGTGCGTTACTTGGTTCTGTCGTTTGCACGGGACGTGTGTGGCTTGGGTGTTATTAGGCCCCTCCCCCTTCTGGAAGATGAGGACCCTGAGGTTCCGAGGGGTGTGAGCAGGACTGGCCAGGGGCTCATAGAGGTTAAGTGTGGGGTCTGGAATCCAAGCCAGATCTCTGCCTTCTAGCCTGGCCCCATCTCTGTGTCCCCTCTGTTCCGGGCCAGCTGCCTGCTCCGTGCGTGTGTCTGTCTGTCTTTCCCTCCTTGACCGTCTCCAGCGGGGAGCTCACCTCTTTGCAGGGCCGGACACTCTGTAGGCGGCCTGGAAGAGGTTTGCGGCCTCAAAGTCCCCCGCTTCCCTTTTGCCAACCTCCCGGAACATTTCTCTCCTTTTCGTTTCAGCAGCCATGAAGTTGAAGGAGAAGAAGTCGAGGCCAAAGTCGCAGAGCTATGGCAAATTTCAGACGAAGGGAATCAAAGTTGTGGGGAAATGGAAGCAGGTGGAGATTGACCCAAATATGTTTGCAGACGGGCAGATGGATGACTTGGTGTGCTTTGAGGAACTGACAGATTACCGGTTGGTTTCTGCCGCCAAGAATTCCTCCAGCCTCTTCTCAAAGGAGCCCGGGAAGAGAAAGGCACAAGCTCTTTCCGAAGGAGAGGAGGAAGCAGAGGCTAGCTGCTCAAAGAAAAAGATGAAGTTGAAGAAGGGTAAAGATGTGGAAACGGAAGGAACCAGTACCCGGGAAGAGTGTGAAGTCAAAGATGCCGAGCCAGAGGCCCAGGGAGACGGCACAGGTTGTCCTGATCCAGAGGTAGGGGAGATGGCATCAGAAAGCCCGGCCCAGACTATTCCGAAAAAGAAGAAAAAGAAAGGAAAAAAAAAAATGGAGGCTTCCCAAGGTACGACTCCAAAGGGGCCCAAAAAAGCGAAGACGTGGATGCCTGAAATGCGTGACCAGAAGGCAGACGTATCAGCTTGGAAGGACCTGTTTGTACCCAAGCCGGTTCTCCGAGCACTCAGCTTTCTGGGCTTCTCTGCACCCACCCCAATCCAGGCCCTGACCTTGGCACCTGCCATCCGTGACAAACTGGACATCCTTGGGGCTGCTGAGACAGGTAAGGGCTCCTTATCTGGCCAGGGCTAGATTGCTTCTGGACGAGCCTGTGGCTGCTCACAGGCCGGGTGTCTGGGAAAGGGGGCAATGCTGGGAACATAACTGTAGAAGCAATGTTGAGAGCCGTGTTGAAGCTAGCCAGCTCTCGGTTGGAATGTGTCACTTCCTGGTTGGTACCCTAGGCGGGTCACTTCATCTCCAAGTCCTGTCATCTCCCTTATAAAATGGGGATAACAGCAGTCCCTGCTTTTGCTATGTGGGTTACCTGAAAATGCTGCAGTAAACTGAAGTTCACAATTCAGTGCATTGTAAGTCATCTGCACAGGGTTGTTTCCTATTCTTGAGCCTTTTCTGAATGGCTCAGAGGACTGAGGTGGGGCTGAGATCAGCCCTCTGGAGAGGTGGGTCTTCGTCAGTGTAAGGAAGAGGTGTCTAATTCCCAACAGCTGCGCGGAGGTAAAAGGGCCGCTCTGGGAGTTGGTGAGCTTATTGTCATTGGAACGATTTGAGTGCGTGGTAGGTCACCGTTGGGTGGATTTTGTAGGCAGATTTGGGCATGAGGTGACTTGGGACTAGGCGTTGTTTGAAGTTCCCTCGTTCCCTGGGCCTTCTAAGACTGAAGCAGTGACAGGTTGACTCACCCGGGTGGGCCAAACTGCTTCCGGGGGGAGGAGCTTGGCCTGCTTGGAACTGTGAGTCCAGCCAGAGCAGCAGCAGATACAGAGACACAGAGAGAGAAATACATATGTGATGTGAGCCACGTAGGTAATTTTAAATTTCCTAGGAGCCATGTTAAAAAGAGGTAAAAAGAAACAGGTGAAAATTAATTTAACAATGTACTTAACTAATTATATAAAAATATTGTAATAGGTGATTAATGCAAAGTTATTAATGAGATATTTTACATTCTTCTTTTTATACTAAGTTTTCAAACTCTGATGTGTGTGTTGAACTTGCAGCACATCTCCGTTTACGGTAACCACATTTTAAATGCTCAGCAGCCATATGTGGCTAGTGGCTGTTACATTTTATTGCATTGGACTAGACCATCTAGACACTTTGTGCCTTGGGTTTCTGGAAGGGTGGTCGGAAAACTTGGAGTGAGGTCCTGTATGAGAGTCACGTGGATGGAAGGGCGAAGAAACTCAGGAAAGGGGAATGGAGATAATGATAATAACTTAGAACCTTTACTTAGCGTTGAAATCGCACTGTGCACTGTGTTAAGTGCATTACTCTTCCCGTCCTACTGATGAGCAAACTGTCCTCGCAGAGGATAGCCAGCGTCCCTAAAACTGCACAGCGGTAGTTAGTAGAGGCTGGATTCTAGACGAGGCCGCTGTGCTGTTATCATTCTGCTGCGCTGCTTTGGTGTACGCAGAGGCCTGGAAGTCGGTTTCTGGAAGGCAGAGGCAAGGCTGTGAGAGCCAGTGTGGCTAGAGCCTGACAGTTGCCTTCATAGCACAGCTGCTATCGGCTGTCCCCATGGAATGCTGTCAATCTGCAGGTCCAAGATTCAGAAAGGCTTTTGGGGCTGTGGACAAAGTGCTGCCCATGCAGACAGTGAATATATCCATCACACCCAAAGGTGCTTTGGGCCTATTTGAAATCCCTCCTTTCCTGGGCCTCCCTCCTTGTTCATCCCCAGGCAACCTTTGATAGGCTTTCTACGACTATAGATTAGTTTGCATTTTCCAGGATTTTATATAATGGAATCATACAATATGTACTTTTGGGGGGGATGTCTGCTCTTTGACTCAGTGTACTTTGAAATTCAACCATGTTATTGCAGTTACCAATAGTTCATTCCTTTTATTGATGAGCAGTATTCCAGTGTATGGATATGGCACAATTTGTTTATCCATCTATTGATGGATATTTCTGTTCGCTCTGGTTTTTGTCTCTTACAAATAAAACTATCATAAATATCGGTGGATCAGTCATTGCATGGATATGTGCTTTAAGTTCTGTTGGGTAAATAAATACCTAGGTGTTCAGTGGTTAGGTCTTAAAGTAATTGTAGCTTTTTAGGAGCTTTCCAAAGTGATTATACCGTTTTACATACCCACCAGGTTATGAGAGTTGGAATTGGTCCATGTCTTTGCCAATATTTGGTATCATCAGTCTCTAATTTTATTTTAGACTTTTAACATTTAGACTTAAAATTCCTTGTGACTTTAGTTGGCATTTCCCTAGTGACTAGTTGAGCATCTTTTCAAGTGCCTGTTTGTCATCCACGTTATCTTTGGTGATGTCTGTTCAATTCTTTTGCCCATTTTTTAACTGGGTGGTGGTTTTCCTATTATTGAGTTAATTATATATTCTAGATACACATCCTTTATCAGCTATGCAATTTGCAGTCTTTTTCTCCCAGTCTGTAACTTGTCTTTTCCTTCTCTTTACAGTCTTTTTAAAGAGCAGAAGTTCTTTTTTTGATGAAGTTCAAATTATCACTTTTTGTTTTACAGATGTGCTTATCTAAGAACCTTTTGCCTAACCCAGAATCACAAAAATTTTCTCCTAGGTTTTTTCCTAGAAGTGTTAGTAGTTTTAGGTTTTATGTTTCAGTCCGTGATACTTATTGGGTTAACTTTTGTTTATGGTTAGAAGTATGGGTCAAAGTTTTTCTGTTTTTTGTTTTTGCATATGGATGTCTAATTATTCTAACACCATTTGCTGAAAAACTATCCTTTCTCCACTGAATTGCCTTTGCATGTTTTCTGAGACTCAGTGAGCATATAGGTGAGGGTCTGTGTATCTCTTTCTGGAGTCTTTTCATTGATGTACTTGCCTATCTTTGCACTAATAGTTAACTATCTTGGATACAGTAGCTTTAGAATAAGTCTTGAAATCAGGTAGCGTAAGTCCCCCACTTTCTTCTTTTTAGAAGTTAGTTTGGCTATTCTAGGC